CGAACCTTGAAGGCGGTTTTCTATTCATCGCCCTCCCGTACGCGGATCTGATAATAGCCGCTTCTTAAGTCCAATTTGGAGAAAATGGTAGCTCCTTGCAGCTGATCGAATAGGTCATCAATGCGTGGGATTGGAAACTTGTACCGCGCCGTGATCTTATTGATCGCTCGACTGTCCACGCACATCCGATACGAGCCATCTTTCTTGGGCACCAGTAACGCTGGAACAGCGCAAGGACTAGTACTGGGCCGAATGTAGCCCCTGGCCAATAAGTCCTCAATTTGTCTTCTCAATTCTAGGTGTTCGTCGGGCTGCAGCCGGTATGGCGGACGGTTGGGCAGCGAGACCCCAGGTAGGAGATCTACGGCATGCTGAACTTCCCGCATTGGTGGCAATCCGACCGGCAGCTCTTCTGCCCATACCTCTTTATATTCATTAAGCAATGGCTGCAACTCTAGAGGCAGAGGAATGGTTTTCGCAGCGGCTTCTTTGACCAGCACTAGGTATCCTCCTTTCGCTTGTTGAAGGGCCAACCTGCATTCGGCTTGGCTCACCATTAATTGTTCTTTCCCAGATTCGTCTGGCGGAAATTTGAATGGCATCAACACAATGGTTTCTGGCCCCTGAGTCAGGGTGTAAGTATTAGCGAAGCCATTGTGGATAGTTTTCCTATCAAATTGCCATGGACGACCTAATAGCAAATGGCAGGCATCCATCAGCAGGACATCACACCAGGCTTGATCCTTGAACTTGCCAATAGAAAAATGGACAAGGCTGCGCTTAGTAACTTCAATCGTATTACCCTTCTGTATCCACGATAGTGCATATGGTTGAGGGTGATTAACAATGGGCAGCTGCAGTTTTTCAACCAATGCACACGAGGCGATGTTTTCGCAGCTACCGTTTACCACAATCACTTGACAGACTCGATCGTTGATAGTACACCTCGTGCGAAAAAGATTATGCCGTTGTTCGGGTTCTTCCTTGTGACTGCTCAATAACCATCAAAGTACCAGCAAATTGCCCTCGTCAGCTTCAATGACAATGGGATGGTTCATGGTCTCATGATCAGCAAGGTTTTCTGGTGAACAGACTTTCGCCGGGTCCGGTCCTTCTTCCATAATAGTCACAATTCTCTGGGTGGGGCAGTTGGAGGCCATGTGACCAAATCCTTGACACTTGAAGCACTTTCGAGCCGGAGTACCACTGAAGGTCGTGGGAGGATTTCACGGTCGCTCTGAAGGTTTGTCTGATGATCCCTGAGACTTTTCGGGTACGGCTGAAGTTCCCCCCCTCTGGAACGGCGTAGATTTCTCCCCCGCGGTATCTTTGAATTTGAACGGCACATTCTTGGACGATTTTTGTTGTCTTTCTACCTGTAGAGCCAAATTGATCGCATCTTGTAGCTTCCAATGGGGCTGTAATTGGACAACGTGGGCGATCGAGGGTTGTAACCCCTCCAAGAATCGGGCTATCGTGTTGTCCACGGGCTCATTCAAATCACATTTCAGTGAGAGCTGCTCAAATTCGGCGACATACTCCTCGACGGATAGGTGGTGTTGTTGGAGACGATGCAATCTCAAGAACAAGTTTTGCCGGTGATAGTCAGTGAGGTACTTTCGTTGAAATCTCCCAGCTAGTGATTTTGCTCTGCCCTTCTCGTTCCCGGCTACGTTTCAAAACTTTCCACCATAAAGAGGCACCCTTCTTTAACTTGATAGCCACCAGTTTAACAATTATCTCCGTCGGGATTTCCTTGAAATCAAGAATGCGTTCGATCGTATGCATCCAATCCAGGAATTCATCAGGGTCCACCCTTCCTTCGAATTCCGGGAGATCAATCTTGATTCCACTGTCTACACGTCCAGGTAGCTGGTCCGGCCTGAGCCTTCTCGGCTGAACTTCTTCGTCACTTGATGTTTCCTGGTGGAACAGATTGACATTTTCTTCTTCTTGTTGCCCACCCACCTCTTGCTGATCTCATCGAGTCAGTTCTTGCTGCAACCTTTGGATTTCTCTTTGCAAATCTTCAACCACCATGTCTCGCACTTGATTATTCGGATTACTCAATGAATTTTCAGGAAATGGTTCCTAATCCCCACTTTAAATGTACCTAATTCGTTGCTCTTATACGAAGCTCTATAATTAATAATGAAACAGATCTAAAAGCATTCAACTCAACAAATAGCAACATCACAGATCCAAACGAAAATCCACCTATAAGCATTCCCCCAATATCAACAAATAGCAGACATTGATTATTCGGATTACTCAATGAATTTTCAGGAAATGGTTCCTAATCCCCACTTTAAATGTACCTAATTCGTTGCTCTTATACGAAGCTCTATAATTAATAATGAAACAGATCTAAAAGCATTCAACTCAACAAATAGCAACATCACAGATCCAAACGAAAATCCACCTATAAGCATTCCCCCAATATCAACATTCAATCAAACAAACATATATGATAAATTCCAAAATTGAAGAAAATAAACCTAGGAAATATACGAAATGACAGTAAAGACGAGGTACAGAACTAGAGCAAGGGTTTCTTTGGGTAAGTTGGATCCCTGGAAGAAAGCGACCGCCTCTGCTCCGCTGATCCTTCCATCCTGGTCCACATCAGCTCTCCTGAAGTAGGCATCGAAGGCGTCCGCGTTTGGAACCTGGCCCTGTTCGGCCGCCATACAAATTTAAAGATCGGTAGTCGAGAACGCCAGAAAGCCCGCCCGTCGGCGGTCGGAAGGAAGCAGACCACGTTTACAGTGTTAGGCGTTTGGCTGAGATCCTGACTTGGTCGACGAATTTTTAGTAACTTCCGAGCAAGATTCACAGCTGGATACGAGAAATGGAAAAGGGATTTCTCCGTGAGAGGCTGAGGATCCGATCGCCAGTTATGCAACGGAAAGCTGGTCACCGAGAGGTTGCTCAGTGCCGATTTTCGAAGCTACCAATGATTTCCACTTCGTCGATCGATAGCTGTAGCAAGGAGAAGGAGAAGCGGAAGATTGGAAGATGAAGAGATTTGGGACTTCGGGTTGGAAATTTGTGAAGAAACACTCTATTAATCCATAATTTCATGACTAATAAATCTGTTAATTCACATAACAATAAAAAGGTATGATAATAGAAAATTTTCCTCAATTTTTCAACATAAAGGGTTTTTAGTAAAAAAATTAAATTTTTATAAAGTCTTATAATATTTAAAATGAGGAAAATATACTCACAATTATATTTCTTAAAAAACTATACTTAAAAATTTCATTGAGTCTGAAATACTCGTATAATTCAAAGAGATGTTTTCGTATATATAAGTGACATTTTGAGCGAGAAGTTGATCAAACCCTCCTATTATTGATGCCTTCTTCTGCCGCAATTCTCGTTCGTGATTAATGATTTTGAGTCAAAGTTCCAATGTAATATTTTCATATTCGTATCTGGCCAATTAATAATTATTGTTGAAAATTTTTAAAATTATACATTTGATAACATTTAAATCTTCGACAATGTTATATGTATCATTGCTTGAAAATTATCCTAACATTGATTGAAACATGTTCGGCTCTTGACCTTAGTATTTTAGAACTAGGATTAAACAATAGTCTAAGAAAACTTTAATCATGATTCAAAGATAACTCAAACAATGTCCAAACAAGTTTCGATCGATTCAAGAACATTGGTCAAGCAATCTAGCAATAAGTTTCAATCAATATTTGATGAAACTTTGAGCAAAGTTCACATTTATTGTTTTGCATTTTGTCTCTATTGTGATCGACTCATTTATGTTGTGTAATCATGTAAATATATATACACACTTGGGTCACACATAGGTTACGTGAGGAGTTCGGATCGGAGAATTGTTCGGATTTCGTGAGTGTGTGTAGCAAAAGCACAATAAAAGCACAGTTACTGTGCACCACTGTGCTTTTACTGTGCAAACTCATAAAAATCAGACGTAACTCCGGTCCAGACTCCGCACGTAATAACCTCTCCACACACATAAAGCCAAGAGTGTGATGGAGAAAATTATAAGATAATTTTGAGCTATTCAAGACTAATGACATCATTGTGTTGAACATGAGAGATGAACACATAAAATATGAATATGAGTGCCTTTTTTTCATAATATATGTAGATAGGCATTACAAAGCTTTCATTGAATGTGATGATTTGGCTACTTTTAATGAATGTGATGCTAAAGATAAATGCAAAACTTATTGTCTAGAACTCATAATTCCAAATTGAAAATATATTTGCTATTGCTTGATGAAAATAATTTCAATTTGAATGATCTTGAAGAGCAAATTTTATGAAGTGGTAAAATTCCAACACTTTATAGTGATATAGATGTTGTAAGATTCAGACTTTTTAAAATGATCTAAGAGTGTTCAAATTTGACAATTATAGTAATATAGATGCGATCAGATTTGAACATTTTATAATGATACAAACTATATTATAGAAGTTATTATTACATTTACTTGTATAAAACCTTTTTTTGTTGCACTATAACTATTGTAATTGTACTTAGCATGTTACTATAAAACACTATAATTATTTCAATTTAATATAATACTTATTATTAAAATTTTCTCCTCAATTGAGTTTGTCTTATTCTTATACTTTATTGTATTATGGTTATTGTGATTATAGTATATTACATTATACTCTATTATTTAGACACTTCAAATCTTATTCGAACTTTGAACAAAATTATAAGAAATCGTTTGGGACGGCTTTCATACTGTTTCTTAAAGTAGCCTTCTAATAAAAAATTAAAATTTTTGTAAAAAAAGCTGCTTTAAGAAGCAATAAAAAAGCCGTTCCAAATGAAGCCTAAATAATTACTTAAATTATTAAAATTGATTTAGTGGGTCATAGGTAGTTTACATGAGTCATCACCAACTGAATCATGCCAACACAAGACATCCATCAATCTTTCCCAATCATCTCTACCAGCAATAAGTTAATCAGAATTTCATTAAATAAAGTACATAAAGAAGAAATTATTCATAAGCACAATCACTTCTTATTATATTGTTTAAAACCATAGGGCAACATAGTACAAAATGGTACAAAATGTAAAGAAATTGGCTTTTGGCAACAATATGACAATTCTAATGATCTTACAATAGAAGAATGTGAAATAGTAGAATTATTGTTAAAAACAATACATTCTATGACTGCAAGATTATCAAAATCATAGAGAAAAATCTGGTGTAGAAATATTTGAGCTAATGGAACCTAAATCATCACTTGACTAATCAGGTCTCAGGTCTCCAATCTGATTTCTCTGCAGCTATTATTCCTTTGTTGTCCTTGGAGAAGATCAGTTGAACTTCCCAGTGTAAGGACTTCAGCAAGCTTTCCAGTTCATTAGTAACAGTAGATTCGTCTCTGACTATCAGTTTCCCTCCAGGTCTCATAATCCTGTCAATCTCAGCCATAACTGGAACAATGCTGCATCTGGAAGCACAGAAAGATTACAAATAAAAACTTTATTTGAGCAAGTTTAGAGGATGTTTTTGAGTTCGAAATCATCCTACTTCAACTTAGGTTTCGTTTGGGACGGCTTTCTCATTGTTTCTTAAAACAGATTTTTGAAGAAATAAGAAAGTCGTCCCAAACGAAGCCTTAATTACCTTTCTTTCAGCTTGGAAAAGAGCTGGTCCGCGTGTAAGAGATCATAAGTTCGAGGATAAGTGCTGAAAGATTCACACCAATCATGATATATGCCGAAAAGGCCGCGCTCATATATGACAGGAAGTGTGTCTGAAGAATCAGTATTCACTACATTCATGACCCATATTTTCATGTCTTTCAAAGCAGCTGCAAATCTGAATAAAATTTATGTTGGTACAAAGTAAATATTTTGTTTAAAAGTAAGGTGGTAAGTAGCATTGCAGCGATAGATTCTTACCCTCCATAGACAGCTCTCATGTCCATCACATTTCTAATTTTGGACCAATTTATGCCCAAACCATTGAGATAGGACTTAGTTACGATTTGTTTCCAATGATCGTAGTCAGATTTGAAATCAAGAGGACCTGGTTTTCCATAGAAACCTGCCTGGGAGCTATCTAGCCAGTATGGGGGTGTCTTGAGCCTTTGTGGCCATTCCATGGGCCATTTCGTCCCTCTTTCTGAAGCATCAGTAGGAACCCGGTGGATGCAGGCTTTTAAAGGTGTATACCTGTAAAAAAACATTAAAAGACAAGAAAAAACAAACTATTAGGATTTTACGCAAAATTTTTAACTTTCTTTCTGACCAGAAGAACAAAGATTTTTTTTTTTTTTAATTTTTTTTTGGGGGGGTTTTTTTTTTTTTTTTTTTTTTTGGGGGGGGGGGGGGCGATAGGCTTAAGAACTTGATAAGAATAAGCTGCTTGCATTGATTCTTGCAAATTAAACACTCAATCTTTGATTTGGAGTGGCTTTATGTGCAGTACTAATTCAAGGGGGGAAACTTGGGAACTTTTTTTTTTTAAATAGGGTTGCTATAACAACAACAACGATAACATAAGCATTTATCCCATTATATGGGGTAGGCTAAATGAATCCTTTTTCACCATTATGTCCTCTAAAGAGTGAAATTCTCATTTAAATTTGATAAAAAAAATCATTTCTAATATTTACTATAATAAAATCAAAATTTATTAATTTAAACTCCTAGATTTCACAAAGAATCGATGACAAAGCAACAATGGCTCCGGCGGTCTCTCTAAGAACAACCCACATAAGCGCTTGCAATTTCTCTTTCTAATTTGCCTCTGTGCCATGCTTCTACATTTTACAAAAGTTTTGATCCAAACGCATAAAACAAGGAGTTTGAGGGGTAGGCTAACTGGCTAAGTCCTCCTATAAAACACCCCAGTGGGGCAAGCATGAGCCAATGGGGAATATGCCCAGTATCTTGTCCTAGGTGATGGGGGCATCGACAGGAGATTCCGACGCGTTTATCAGAGACGACATCGGAGATCGACGGCCATGATGGAGGGCCTTTACTAGTGATGACTTGTTGTATTTGCATTTCATATATTACTTGCTTATTTTCAGTTTTTCCCATTTTACCCTTGTGGGTATTAGTTTTCTCTTGTAGTTCGAGGGGCATTTTGGACTTTTGTACTTGCTTTCATTTGGAGCCTATTTATATGGCTCTTGTATCTTGTATGAGGCTAATGAATTATTGAATAAAATTTTCTACTTTGATCTCCTTGTGAGTTCTCAGTTTCCCTAGTTCTCTTTGTGAGTTCTTTAGGGGAATTTCGTGGATCCCTTTATGAGTTCCGACATTGTTACAATCTCCCTTTGAGATCTTGAAAAAGAGGTGCGCGAGGTTAGGAAATTCCAAGTTTTTCTCCACAGTTTCATCCTGCTTCCAATCCCTGAAATCCCCTCCCCACTTCTCTCTTGCCACCGGCCCTGTAGTCCGGCCAGAAAATTGGCCGCTGGCCAATTGCCCCTCCGGCTACCAAGCCCCCCTGCCGATCCATTAAACCTCTAATTCCTCACTAACGGTTGGCACTTCCTTTGGAAACTAATTTGATTTTCAAATTAGCTTTCCCCCCCACTTCCCCTCCCTAAAATCCACTTTCAGAAATCTGAAATTGCTTTGGTCTGAAGCTCTTCTCTCCTACCCGAGCTCCTCCTTGGCATTGACTTGATTTCTCCCACCCAAGCCATTCCTCTAACTATAGAAATCTGACATTATTTCATAGTTGGTGACCCTTGCTTCTCCTCCCAGCCTCTCCACCCTTCCCGATCTCCTCCCCTCATGGAATTCCTTGCGGTGATTGCTCGTCTTCAAATCCATGGTTTATGGCGGATCCTGCCGTTGATCACGGACTCTTCTACGACATCTACGGAGATATCCACGTCTTAAGATCTCTTTCTTCGATGTGGGGTTTGGCTTCGACAATACCGTCGAAGAGTACTTTGATCGAATTTTACCAACACTAGTGGACTCCATCGACAACCAATTCTCCGACTACAAGTGGATCATCAAAGGTCATCCCACCGTGCCACCTCCACCTCCGAGTTCCTTCTCCACGGCGACGTTCATTGGCTCCCCCCTCCTCGTGGCAACCTCACTTCTAGCTTGGACGATCTTCTGCCGCTCAACCTAGTTTCGTAGGAAAGAGAGAAGAGGCCTCAAGGTGAACAACTCCTTATTAATCGTTGGATTCAAATCACTAGCTTTTAACTTTACGTTTCCCCTTTGTATTGGCTTAAATTGTTTGGTTAATTTTCCTTGTAATTCCTTTGCCTAAGCAAGTGGAACACGTCGAATTCTTGTAGCCGATTTTAATTTGAAGCATGATTATATAAACGGTTAAGCTATTATTCAATTTCCTTTTTATCTTGTGTAACTCAACTCATGCATCACATCACTAGGTTTGCCCGTGATTCAAAATTAATCTATCAAATGCCATGAAAAGTGTAGTAGAGATTAATGATCTTCCGTGTGACAAAAGCTCAAGCTGATAAATGGAAAGCTTTAGTGATGTGTTAGATCGTTCTATTGGATCGGTGCAGCCGGTTCACGCGGGACCGACCGAGGCGCAGATGAGGCGGAACTTCTCCGCCTCCTGCGTATGCCGACCAAGCCGCCAGGTTCATGGACCATTTGGAAGATTTTTTGAGGTAATTGGGAGGGAAAATTGAATGTAAGGACTGCTTAGGGATTTCCTTTTGATTTGTATGCATATTTTTTTTTAATGCATTAAATAGTTTGTTTTCCCAGGGTTAGGGCATCTTGAATTTGGCTGATTTTGGGATCTCTTAGGTTTAGGTTTTGGGCTCTAGATTCGTCTAGAGATTGGGAGAGATCGATCCTCCTCTCGAATAGAGGATCACTTGTATTTTGTTGTTTTCTTCCGATCTATTTAATTATTACAATAAAATTACTGTTTTTCTGGTTTTCTTGTGGAGTTTGGAAGAGTTTCTCGCTGTTTTTCTAAAATTTATAGGATTTATTTGAAATCTTCAAGTGTTTCCTATCATGATGCTATCTACAGCCAGCAAGCAACTGTTAAAAAATAAGGCAAGCTAATAAATAGAAAAACTTTAGAGATGTCACATACAGCCAATTAGGAACAGATCTTGAAACTCATTCAGGATAGTAGCTTTGATCTTTGGTTTAATTTGTCATTGGTATATTTGGTAGATTAATTGCAACCATAGTCATCATTCCAGTGAAATCAAGATTCACATATTTATGAATATCTGTATTCATTGGTCTTTGTAAGTTATAAAAATTAAGACGGGAAAATCAGCTCACCAAGCTGCATTGGGATCATCTTCCTCTTCACACATTGGAGGACTTTGATTCTTCCTGTTGTCATAACATTCATTAGAAGTGGGTTTCCTGTAGATTGCTGCAGCAACTCCATTCAATTTGTCCTTCTTGATAGTGACAAGATCCCAACACATCGATTTTGTAAGGGAACTCATTGCTGAAATAAGAAAAACAGTTTCCATATAACCTGAAGCAAAAACCTGGCATGAAAATCATCAAGGGAAAATAAGGAGATGCAGGTTACCCTTCCATATTTCTAAATCTTCCTTTAGTTTCTGATAAACTGGTGTGGCTGACCACACAAAATAGCCGCCAGGACGCAGCACACGATTGAGCTCAAGAAGAAGCAAGCCTCCTGCCATGACAATTGTAATAGAATAACAAAAGGAAATCGCAGCTGAAACTAAGGCTTCATTTGAGACGGGGTTTTTTATTGCTTCTTAAAGCTGCTTTCTAGTACAAATATTAAAAATTTTGTACTAGAAAGCTGCTTTAAGAAGCAGTAAGAAAGCTGTCTCAAACAAAGCCTAAATGATGATGGAAGGAAATATATCAAAGATGAAATACCATCAGCATGCCATGGAACACGACACCTAGCACAATGGATGAGGTCAAAAACTTTGCTGGGAAATGGAAGTCTTTGGGAGCCCATCACTGCAGATATTGCAGGAATGCCTCTCTCGAGAGCAAACTGAACTTGAGCTTCATGTTCATCCTTTGGTGCAAAAGACATGGTGATTACGTCTCGATCAAAGAGATAGCCACCAAAGCTTGCAACTCCGCAGCCAACATCTAATATAACACGGGTATGTTTTCCCCATGCAATAGTGCGCAGGGACTGCAACAAGTGCAAGAGACGCCATGAATCAGATTATCAAACAAAGATGAATATGAAGGGTTTTTTTTTTTTATAATTCAAAATTTGAACCATTCCTATCTTTTGCAAGTTCGAGTCTAATATCTACTTTGCAAGTTTGAGTCTTGTTCGGATTTATCATTTACTTTTTAGAATATTGAAAGAGTATGTATGAAATTAAGGTATGAACAAAAATCCAAGTGGAGTATTGGAAACACAACCATATAGAGGAAAGGATCAAAGGAAAATAATTCATGACGTATATCTTAGTTTCAATAATATATTTTGAATAAAATGGGTTGTACATGAGTCCCGGAGGCTTTCTTCTTCTTCTTTTTCACTTTTTTTAGGATGTATTACACGCCTAGCTATAACCGTTCTATCTTTTTATTCCTTTATAGTTGTTTGTCTGGAACCCATCGCTAAACTCTAGGCTCATAAGAAAAAAAATTATGTTTTTACGAAACTAATAATAATGATAATCAACTCTAAAATTAATCCTCAATTTTCATAAAATAATGTTTATTATTATATGGTCCTTCTAGCCACTTTTAAAAATAAAATAAATAGGACCATCTTGTTAATATGTGAATACAAAAGTTACATTTTACACTTCGTATGCCTTTTCATAAGGGAGGATCAATTATCCGCATTGAACCAAAGCTGATTGAATAAAAGAAATATCTGCCAAGAAATTTAAATTTTATTTCATTGATTTGAGATCACGAGATTACTATGGAGGACGCAATTTATGGTTACTAACAATGTAGCTCAAATGGGTCAACTACTTCCTATGTGAAGTGAATCTCAAACTTGTTGACATGGGATGAAGGATCCATGAAGATGATCATGTCTACCTTTTCTTGATTCCTCTCATATACCCATCAGCCATTTGAGCCTATCCATCTCATTGATATCTTGTTTTGAGGTCATTTCATAAACTCTCACTTGTTGCAAGATGGCTACCCATTGGAATATGGTGATTCAATGCTGCGTCTTGGTATCAAAAACAGCCAATAAACAAGAGAAATTCAGCATAATTTTTTTTTTATTGCTAGCAAATTAAATAACAAAAACAAGATACAATGATCCTCTTTCGAGAGGATCTTCTCTCTCAAACCCCAGAAGCCGCTAGAATCCCTCACACAAAGAAAACTACAGCACTCAAAACAAAATCTGCATAAACCTAAAATAAACCCTACAATGGACTTAAATAAGCTTCATCCCTCTCTCCTAAACCAGCCTCCTTCCTAATATGTTTCCCTCTTTAATTTGAAAAATAATTCAATTAGGAAAGGTTTCAATGAGGAAACAAAATCAATCAAGAAATCAAGGAAATGATTTCCTGATTGATTTTTTCCTAATATAATTTAGGAAACCTTCATAAACAATTAAACATAATTTAGGAAACATTCCTAAACAATTAAACATAATTTAGGAAATATCTCTAAACAATTAAAAACTTCTTAAATAGTATAAACATAATTTAAGAAACCTTCATAAACAATTGAACATGATTTAAAAAATCTTCCTAAACAATATAAACATAATTAGAAAACCGTCATAAACAATTCTCCCTTAATTAGGAATCTTTCTAAAAAACTCCCCTTGATTAGGAACCTTCGACTCTCCTGATTATCTATTTTAACAGCAAAATCTGCTTCCTGTCTAGAACCACGTAGCACATGATCCAATTTTATATCCTTCATTATATGCTCATGCTTTACTCTATTGAATATATCATCTTTCAACAATTTAATATCTTTTCCAATGCTTTCACTTTTTATCCATTTGCTCCAGTCATCCTAGCCATCAACCATTTTTTCCACTTAAAGCCAGAAAGGTTAAAAATAATGGCACAAAAAACCAATTGACAACAAGGAATCACATGGATGCAGAGAGAAGCAAAAAGGCTGTTGAATTAGTAGTTGCAAATCCAAAGATCTGATAAACAATTAGTGGCAGCATAAATTCTAGACCCTTTGTAAAATGACTTCTAGAGTACATCTTATAGTTCTATGCAAAATTTACATGTCGCCCAACGAATCCTTGTCTAGTAGCTTTATATTTTGCTCTGCCATGTAGGATTGTTCTTCCAGAGTAATGGGATTTTGTTCCAAGCAAGAATGTAAAGAACACTAAGTACAATTAAAGTTGCATGATAATTATGTCGCCAAATGCAATTCTGAATCCCCTTTTCAGCCCAATCTCCATAACCATGGGTAAGGCCATCAATAGACCAAGCTGGACGGCAGATTGAGATGCCAAACTAGCCTTCAAAGGATTGTTTCCTCTCATCAGTGCTTGCTTCATAATGGCAGACTCAAGCCCACTAATGACAGATAAGGCTTGCCATAGAGGAAAAGGTGGACTATGATAACAATCATCATTGAGTTGCCATAGAACCCTATAGTCTTGAAGTAGTAAGAAAGCATGCAGAATAAGTCAAATCAATGACTCAAGTGATAGATATCTCTACTAAGTATTTGTTCTCCATTGCTACAGGCAACCTTTGCTTCAAACAAGGAGATTTGGTAGAGTCTAACATCACGACCCTTCCCAACCGGAATATACTCCTGGTGGGTGATATTTTCTTGCCTTAATGTCGAGTTGAATCCTGCAAAGATATCCTCACTTAGGTTGATTCCACAAGAAGCCTTGTTTTTGTCACCTCTAATGATGTGAAAAATCCCGTCAAATACATATGGATGCTTATATTGGAAGCATACTTTCAATGGAGTAGCCATAACCCTTTGTTCAATTGGCACAAAACTTGTTTCTTGGCTTGACATGAACCATCCCAAAGATGAAATACATCCCGTAAAAGTGTGACCACGCAAAAAAAAGTGCCCACGTACACCAAGAATGGTTGGTGGGAGCAATCCATGGTTTTCATTGAATTACTCCAAAAGATTCCTCATTTTCAAAGCCACTTCCCAATAGTTATCTTGTTTCATATCAATTTCCTGAAGAGCCTCCCCTCTAGTAAAGATGACTGCATGGTTTTGATTTATGGCTCACCTTTACAATTCTTTGCTGCTCCAAGTAATTTGATGTAGTAGATTTCCTGATCAACACCATCAGCTTGGCTTTGGGAGTTTATTTATTTGCCATTTTCATTTGCATCTTTCCCTTTGTCGATATGTTTATCCTCGGAGAAGCTTGTGTGAAGCTTGTGTATCACTTATTCAACTCTCACTCTCCTTATTCTCAATTATTCGCATCTTCAACTTTTTCACCCTGGGATTGCCACCACCCCAACATCTTCTTCCTCCTTCAGTGTGATGGTTGTCATGATCCCTCCATGTTTCCCTCGTGTATCGAGGATGGGACTCCCACCTTTCTTCCATCCGCCTCACATTACCTAATCCCCATGGCTTGGCCCTTCCTCCTCCGATCATCCACTCTCCTTGCCCAAAAAACCTTCCATAGTAGTTGACCACTTCACCACCTCTACAATCAAACTCGCTTCATGCTGTTTCCCCATTCGAAAACCCTATTCCCCCCCCCCCTTCTCGGAGCCCTAGGAGTTGGCTCTTGATGAAAGGAGCTCTTTTTTCCAAACTCTTCACGTCCGATCTCTTTCCTTTTAGATTCGGCCAAGGGAATCTCAATCAAATCTTGATTAGGGTTAGCAATTGTAACCGTCAGTGGTATTTTGGATAGCTTTCTCATCATCTCCTCAAGAATTTTATTTTCCTTTGGTTCAACCCTAGGATTCGTCGGTGAAGCTTTCGACTGCATCTCGATCAAATTCTTCTTCATATCTTCTAAATTCCCAGACCTTCCTTCTATCGTTGAAATTTGATTATTCATCAATCTCATATCCGCTCGTAGTTGCCCTACTTCCCCTTCTAACTTTTCTTCTAACGCCTCAATTCTTCTTCTGGCCATCAAAACTTAGATCAAGGCTTTAACAGCAAAAATCATCAATGTAAATATGGTCTCCAAATAGCAAAATTCAGCAAACAGAGAGGAAAACTCAGTAGAAATCAACGAGGAAAGCTTGATATTTCGGCCCAGGACAATGCTCTGATACCAATTTGATACGCCTTGGTATCAAAAACAGCCAACGAACAAGAAAAATTCAGCACAAAATAGATTTTTCAATTGCTAGGAAAACAAATAACAAAAGCAAAATACAATAGTCCTCTTTCAAGAGGAGAATCTTCTCTCCCAAACCCTAGACACCACTAGGATCCGTCACACAAAGAAACCTACAACACTCAAAATAAAATCTGTATAAACCTAAAATAAACCCTACTATGGACTTAAATAGGACACAATGGAGAAAAAGAATTCATGTAGCCGACTCCACTTAGTGGGATAAAGGCTTGATGTTGTTGTTGTTGTATGAACTTAAATAAGCTTCCTCCCTCCCTTAAAATCAGCCTCCTTCCTAACATGTTTCCCTCCTTAATATGAAAATTAAATCACTTAGGAGTTAGGAAATGTTTCGATGAGGAAAGAAAATCAATTAGGGAAGGATTTTCTAATTGATTTTCTCCTAATATAATTTAGGAAACCTTCCTAAACAATTAAACATGATTTAGAAAACTTTTCTGAACAATTAAACATAAATTTTAGAAACCTTCTTTAAAATTTAAATACTTTTTAAATACTATAAACATAATTTAGGAAACCTGCCTAAACAATTAAACTTGATTAAGAAAACCTTCCTAAATAATATAAACATAATTAGAAAATCTTCCTAAACAATTCCCCTTAATTAAGAACCTTCTAAATATCTTCCTCTAGGCCCCACAAGATGGGCCCCCCAGTGTATCATTCACCTTTTACCCTCTAGCTCAATTTAGCCTTGAAACATAAGGCTTCCCCTACTGAAATAATCATATCATCCCTTGATAAATGTGGTTGAATAGATTTGGAATATAAGTTTAACTCTTTTTATCCAGAGTATTCTTATGCACCACCAAGAATATAATTAAACTTAAAAATAAAGTTACTTTGGGAGATCCATAACCAAAAAGTTGAAATTTTAAAAAATATACAAAAAGAATTTCTCCGGTTAAAAGATTAAAAATTTCCTAAAAATTTTCTAGAGTTTTAATAGGTACAAGTAATCCTGAAATTTTCTAGACTTCTCTCTATCTTCTTACATGACGATTCTATATAAAATATCTTCTATATTTTCACTAATATCCGATATATATTAAATGTAAGAAAGAAAAGGAAACATGGAAACCACATCCCAAAAGAACCTCCATAGACATGGCAAATTAGTACATTGAGTCATAGGCTTACCATACATAACCAAATTCTGAAACTTCCATATTTCTTGAAGTGGGAACATGCACAGGAAACTTTCTCAATTTGCTTGTAAAATGAGACAAATTATTTTGTGCGGATACGGACGTCGTCCGGAGGTGAATCAGAATGCGCCACATCACTTTTTTGTTGTATACTGAGGTTGTGTGCCACTGTATACCAGATAACGTGGAGCGTTCTGATTCACTTCCGCCGGTGTCCGCACATAATAATTTATCGTAAAAAGTCCACTTAAGGCATGCTTATAAGAAAGAAGCGGACTAACAACATCGGATGCTTACCTGCTGAAGGAAATCTATGTAATGCAGAGCACCATGTATGAATTGTGTTCCACCTCCAGGAAATGTAAGGTACTCTCCATCTACTTTCACCCAGTTCTGATGCCCTTTCACCTCAGCGAGTTTAGTATGAGGGACATTGTTGTACCATATCTATTAATAAGAAATAAATGGAACCCTAAGCCCAAAAAAAAAACTAAGAGAGAAAAAGAGATGCCAATTGTAACTCCATTCAGCATGATTACCTTATCCCTGCTCTTCGGCCACTCAATTGACCTCTTATACCCCGTGGGGAGAGGCACAAGACAAGTGGGACTCTCCTCTGGGCAATGGCGCTCTCTGTGCTGATAATGCTTGAAATTATTTAGCTTCTTGATAGCCTTCTCATTGTCAAGGCAAGGTATGTAGTCGGCACCTGCGGTGACATTGCAGAGCTCCCACTCATATCCAATAAAGCTTGCCTCATTGCCAGGATTGCCTTTGCTGATTCCAGATTGCTGCTGCTCTTCCTCATTCTCCTTCCGCCCCTCTTCATTCAGAGGGTGGACTTCCTGGTTCTCCTGTGGCCTATTGTCACCGCTGTTGCTTGGATTTTCCAACTGGTCATCAGAAAAGGGTAAACTTGTGGCAGGATTGATGACTCCATCATCACTTTTGGTGGTATGGGTAGTTTCATCGTCTACCAACTGTGACCCTGGCTGGTTTTCGAATCTTCCGTCAACTTCCTCTATCTGCTGCTCCGGTTGGTGGCTATTGTTGCCATTTTCCTCTTCTGCTTGCTCTGGCTTCTGCTCCTCCTCATTCTGCTTCTTCTCGTCCTCATCACTTTGCCGATCTGTGGAATCCTGGCTCTGTTCAGTTTCAGGAGCCAATTTATCCTCAGATTTCCCGCTTTCCTCATCAGCCACCGTGCCATCCACCTGAGATTGTTCTTGATTCTGGCTATCGTTGTTCTCTTCACCAGTTCCATCAGTGTCATGCTCAATCTGCTCCTGACTCTCAATGCCGCTGCTGGATCCTTTATCCCCCTGCTTCTGCGTTTCCTCCTCTCCATTCGTCTGCTGCGGCTGAGTTTCAGAGGAATCTTCTTCAGAAGCCCCAGATTCAGATTGCACAGCGGAGTCATCTAGGGCCGACTTTGGCTCTTTGAGATCGAATCGGGAAGCTCGGCGGTCAGAGGAGAGGGAAATGTCGGAACGACGCTGGGCAGCAGTGGACGAAGCGGAGGAGGTGAGAATGTAGATTCCAAAGGCGCAGAAGGCGATAAAGATGAGTATCGTGATGGTGGAGGTCCATGAGAATGACGGCCCTCGCTTGCCCCCGCGAGAGTTCTTGCCCAAAGCTCCCATTTTTCTTCTCCGCCTCCTGCTTGTGATTCAGATTATAAGAGAAGATGGCGATGATTCAGCCGCCTTAAGCTCGGATCGTGGAATTGAAATGGCTTTAGAGAGAGAGAGAGAGAGAGAGAGAGCCAAAATTCCGGCAGAAACGCCACGCGGGTGAACTGGCGGGGAAGTTCGACGCACCGACGTTTATAAAATGCTTTATAATATCAAAATATTAAATGTCCCAAATAGGTTCAAAAGTATCACTTTTTTTTAATATTTAATCACTCTATTATATAAAGTTAATTTCAAATAATCACTTAAATAAACTTTAAAAAAAATTAATACAAAATTTATCAATCTCTGAATTATATAAAATTGATACAATTTAATTTTAATAAATTATTTAAGATTCATTTAACTAACTAACTATAATTGAATATTAAGGATGTCAAATAAGTGAAATTATTCAGTGCAGATACGGAGGCGATTTGGCAGCGAATCAGAACAAGTCGCGTCATTTTTTGCTGTGTACCGAGTGATGTGGCGCATTCTGATTCGCTTCCGAACGGTCTAGTATCCACAGAGAATAATTTCTCATCAAATAATGACTTGATAAGAATTTGGCTTGAAAAATTAAGAATTTACTCGAATGCCTAAAATAGTCTGGATTATCATTCATATTTGGGAAATAGGTTGATTTCAGCTTAGACATGTAAGAAATTGCAAGATCTATGTGATAAATGAGTCAAATAGTCAGATTTAATTTGGGTTAAATTTGTGAACCTGTATAATAAAAGAGTCAGTTCGGGTTAAACATATAATGGTCAGATCCACCAACTCAAATTGACCAACATATGCATGAATAATCGAGTATTATTTTAAATTTATTATATACATGGGACTAATAATTTAAAAAATAGAAACGATAGCCATTAGGGGTGTCAATATTTGACACGACACGAAAACCCAACCCAGAAAATCCGGGTTGGACCCGGCCCAATTTCAAAATTGGTCGGGTTCGGGTTCCCGGATTCGACTCTGCCAGCGCCAGCGCCTCGCGCCCGAGGTTGCTTGCGCATTCACCCGCTCTCGCCAAAGCGCGCACCCGCTCTCGCCCGCGCTCACCCATGCTCGTCCACGTGTTTCGGGTCCGCTGTCGGGTCGAGTCAGCCCGTCAACCCCCCGTGTTAGGTCCGGGTTCTGATTTCCTACCCGTTTATCTACCCGGGTCGGGTTAGGGTCAACCCATTTGAACCCGTATCAATTCTGAATTTGACCCGAACCTGACCCGTGACCCGAAATTGACACCCCTAATAGCCATGATGAAATTATGAAAATCTCTAAGATTATTAGATGATTTGTATTGCTCATAAATAATAAAAATATAAATTGAATAAATAATTTATTTTTACTTATTTAATATTTTTTACTTTTTTTATTTTTATTTTTATCTAAAAATATTATGATGGTATGAATTCAGTTATATTTATTATATTTATATGAAGATAATGTCGGCAAAAAATGGCCATTCATATCCGTACAAAACGATTGGTTGTCAAAATTTATTGGCAATTTTGGAATTGAAAGTGATCACTCGGTGGGCACCGACAGTCACAAAGAGGACATATTTTGGCTATCTTAGGCCTAAATATTCTTATTAAAGTCATTAAAATGTATTTAAAATTAATAATTATTTTTCAAAATTACTGAAATATAAATTTTTTATTTATTGTATGATATTGAGACTTATAAAGACTTTGATGCTTAAATTTTTTTTTATCTAATTTTTGGTGTGTTAAGTATGATCATTTAAAATTAAATATTTGGTGTAATTCACGATAATATATAGAGATTTTACCTATTATTTTTCGTATGAAAATCTAACACAAATGAATAAAATTATTATTAAATATTTTTCGCATTATATTAATTTCTAGAGCTCTATTGGATGTCTAATGCTGATGTTGCCGGACAGCCGCTGCTAGGCTAATATCAGTCGACTGCCTTCCAACTATAGCTATTTGATCATTACTGCCTCGCAATCATAATCTATTTACTATCATCTGATCACCATTATCTGACTACTATCATCCGACCACCATTATGTGATCACAATTATCCGATCATTGTTACTCGACTGATATCATCCAACCACCATCATATCCCTTAATTATTTATCCCAAAATCTCTATTATGGCTACAAAAGACCAAATAAGGGGCCCATAATTTTATAATCCCATCGTACGATATTCGATCTTCATTAAAAAAAAGATTTATCTTAAATTAATGTAGTAATCAATCAATTAATAAAGTTATGTGATATTCTTACATAAAAAACAATCTAATAATTTTGAAATTCATTATATTTTACCTTTGATTAAAGTAGACAGGCCCATCATTAACTGACCATCCTATATTTTATAGTTCTTCATCACTCAATCATAAATTTTTAAGAATAAGGGAGCCTCTAAGGTTTTGTTTTCGATGGCTTTCTTACTGCTTCTTAAAGCAGTTTTTTAGTACAAAAATTAAAATTTTAATAGTAGAAAACTGCTTTAAGAAGTAGTAAAAAACTGTCCCAAACGAAGCCTAAGTTAGGTTGCTTCTGATTTGGTATTGAATCAATGTCATTAGGCTCAAGATGGGTTCAAATCCTAAGTTTAAATGAAATAAAATATAATTATATGTTAATTAAATTTGACTAATTAATTAAATGTTTAAGAGAATTAAAGGAGATGGGGAATTAAGGATTGGTTCAAAATATAAATCAAATTTCAACAAAACTAAGGCCTAAACAAAGGATTTGAAGTCTTATAGCTCTTCAACCAAGGAGAGAGAAGACCATATTGAATCCATGATACCTTTGAGTTTTCATCTGTTCCTCCATTTGTCAAGAACCGGCCTATTATGAGACTTATAATCTTATACACAAAAGATTAAGAAGTTCGACAGCCGGAGAAATACGACTCGACCCACCTATGCGCATTTTAAAGTGATGCCATCAAGATTTATACGACACATGAAGACTAAGGCTTCGTTTGGGACGACTTTATTATTGCTTTTTAAAACAATTTTCAAGTTCAAAAAATTATAGTTCAATAAATTTTTGTACTAAAAAGTTGTTTTAGAAAGCAGCAAAAAAGCTATCCCAAATGAAACCTAACACTAAGATGCAATGCATATCAGAATTTTGACGATGTGATTTTTATTGTCTCCTAAATGCCTATCTTATGATGTATATGCTGACATCTATATTTGCCTATGTTTTATAAAAGTATAAATAAATATCATCTAGTTTGCTCCACCTGCAGCATAGAGGATCAAGGCTTCCTTTGTGCCAACATTCTTGCTGTTTTTTAAAGCAGTTTTTCAGTACAAAAAAATTTTGAACTAGAAATTTTTATACTAAAAAATTGTTTTAAAAAATAATAAAAGCCGTCCCAACGAAGCAGAAATTTCATATTACGATAATCACAGCTTCAACTTCATCTTGACCTAAATAGAACATTATATTGATTTGCACATGATAACATCATAATTACCTCACAAATCCAAAGATTGATCAATAGTGCTTAGATGCCTATGAAATGCATTAGCTGCATGTCTATATGTTAGTAGAGAACAGTTTGTGCTAATGTGTCAGGCTGTAAGAATATGAACTTTTGAAGGTCTTCAAATCCTGAAGACTTGATGATGATGATGATGATGATGTGCGCTCAACATATGCTCGACATATCCATCATGGTGCTTAAAATGGCAATATGCACAACAGGAAAATCTATTATTACCGTCAGACTTTTCGGCGAAACAATTTACGCGCACGTACCGGCAGAATATGCGTCGGTAAGTTAACGGCGCAATTTCCGGCAAAAAAATTTTGCCGGTTTTGATTTTCCGATGTGTGAACTACCGTCGGAGCATTTTGCGTCGGAAATGCGCCAGAAAGCTCGTATTTCAGGCGGATTTTGATTGTTACCGTCGGATTCCATCCGCTAGTAATATCACATTTTGCAGTAGTGATGTGATCGTACATACTCTCATTCAATCTATTAAATGACCCATAATCAACATATGGATGTATGTGACTTCAATATAGATGATGAACTATTAAGATGCGCTAATAATTTCAAACACTAAATCATCGATTATAACATGTCCTTCACATGATCAATGATTCATCAAACCAACATCATTACATTGCATTCCAAAAATTAAGGAGTAATGTGCAAAGCCTATGAATTATAGGTTGGTCAAAGTTAATTGTGTGGGAAGGAAGCTCACTCTAGAAAATGTCTAATTGAGAATTGCTCATAGGCAGGAAGTTGAGTGGCTTGTGCATGTGAGGTGGTCGATGCAGGGAGATTGGGCAAAATAGGATCTTAAAGGCAGAGTTGGGAGCTTGGTTTGTTGTTTTAAAGGTGGAGATGAGGTAAGGAGTGTAGAGTTTAGTGATGGTGGGGATGAAGCAGGTGGTGGTTTTGGCTAAAGAGAGCAAGAGAGCATGCGTCGTTTTGGGCTTGGAGACTAATGGATGATTGAGGGAAAGAGAAGGGATTGATGAAGAAGATCTAGAGAGTGGAGTAAGGCTAGGTTGGTTGTGTGGAAGCTTGTGAAGGAATAAGGCACAAGGTATTAACGAGAGAGAAAGTTGGCTTGTTGTTAGTGGAGATTGTTCTTATTATTTTTGTTATCTGTTTTACTGTAAAAATCCCTCCTTTGATCATTGTTGTATAGAAAAGTCTAGGAAAAAGGCCACAATTTTGGAAAAAGGGCACTAACATCGCGGCACCACATCATCAAGAGTTGTGACACTCTGAGCGTCGGAGCACCAGAGAAAGACGCTGAGGCGCCTTGATCTCTGAATTTTTGCAATTTAATTTAGTTCTGCAATGACGCCTAGTGATGCATAGCGTGCGCTCAACACCTTATTTTCAGTGCTTCAACACCGCACCATGTAGCTCCACGATGCCTGAACCCTAATTTTTTACCAAAATGGCATAGAGCACAACGTCGCCGGGGAGAAAATGGAGCATCGCAGCACCGAGTATATTTAAATGACATGAAACTATGTGATTTGATTTGCGGACAATACAAGAATAAAATAGATATTTTTTTTTGTAAGAACTAAGATCTATGATAAATAAAATAAAATATTAAGATATATTTATGTAAGCAATAGAACAATAAT